GTTGTTGTGTTGTTGAATTTGATTCTTCTGTTGGTAAATGTGTAAGAATATCACCAATATTTGTTTCAAGTGTATCAATTCTTCGACCTAATTCATTCATACGATTCATCACTTGTTCACTAGCAGTCATAAATTTTTCTTCCATTTGACGAAATAGTGTATTTACCTAATTATTAAATATATAAAAAATAAAACTATCATTCAATTAAACTTACATATGTTGTTAAATTATTCATATTATCAAGATCAGGATTTACAGATGATGTCGAATTTATTTTGTTATTAACATTATTTGATGCTGCTGAAGATGATGATAAATGTGATCGTGTATCAGTCATTTTGTTTCAAGAAAAAATTTTCAAAGTTATAATTGTTTATAATATAAAAGAATTGAATATATTGTTTACGACTACTACGAAGTATAGAAAAAAAAAATAATGATCGACGTCTTGTTTTTTCTTTTTTTCGTCTTTCTCTGTTATATGACAGGTATTGGATTGTTCAAATCGATATAGAAACCGACAGACGGCGCTAGCTAACATCAACATTCTGACACAACTATTCTGTTTGATTTGTTTATACTCTACTACCAGAAATGTGAGTAGAGTATCGTTGTAACAAATTTTTTCTTTTCGTACAAAATATAATAAGAACAGATGATTCATATCTTATTTATTATGCGAGTCTGCTTTTTTAAATCAACATTTATTTTTATGGTGTCTGAAGTATTTCTTCATGATTCTATTCAAAATTTTTCGACGAAAATTGTATTACTCAAAATATTTTTTCTATGTTTGTATGTTCAGAGTAAAACAAATATGATTGTCATAGAATATATTTAAGTTAATAAAACCAGATGTTAACTTCATGTTCTTCTGGAATCGTGTCCGAAACTTGTGCAAAGAACGACATATATCAAAATTCAAACACACTGTCATTGTAACTATACATGTCAACTGCAAAAATTCAATTTCATCAAGGACTTTTTCACAATTTTCTTATTTATTCTTCAAATATTCTCTCACTTTGCAAATTGATTTTGTCATGAGCCCTCATGGAAAAAATCAAGGTAAATTATGCTTCTACTACTCTGTTTCATATTAAAATGCAACAATTTTTTCATATGAAATTATATATTTGGAATGTTAAAGAGAAATTAAAATTGCAATATTTGATCACTAGCTTTATTTTATTCTTATAAATACAATGAACATCAATTTTTATGATTCTAGAGAATAAAGACATCAACTGTTTTAGTCAATCAAATCATTGCATATACACGAAGCCTTCAAAAATATGTGGTCTGCTACTTAACCTTTTCTTTTTGACTTAATATATGCAGTAAATTGATGCTACTTACTTAAGAGGTTATCATCTCAGTTATTTTTATCAACTTGTTACTGATCATGGAATTGTTCGATGTCTGGAAATGACAAGACCAAGGTTCACATGAGTCTCATATTTAATGGTACTGTCAAGTTTCATTAAAAAATGTATATTTGATAATTAGAGCTTTTGATCGAAAGATTTGCCCCTCGAAGTCGACAGACAGCGCTTGTAAATTCAAGGTAATCGAAAGAATTTATCCCTCATCAAAGCTAAAAAATTAAGTCTTATGACAATTACTCGATATGTTATGATAAAAAAATCTATTTTGCTATCGTATGTGTCAGTTCTCATTCACATAGGCATGATGGGTGTCTGTATCAGATTTTTTTTTTCTCTCGCCGTGTCCTTGTTTCGTCAGCTACTCCTTCATTCTCTTTTTTCCTTTCGCAGCTGGTTACACTTTTTATTTACCTCTGCTGTTCTGTGGTTACAAATATGTGGTTTGTTTTTTTCTACGCTTTTTACGTTATCACTTGTATTATTAAGTGTCGGACTTCTTCTTTTTTTTTTGCTATGCACTGCTTCATTAGTTTACATCGATATGATATTATAGTAATTAACGCATTCTTTATTTCTCGAAAAATTTTCACAAGGTCTAATTTCTTACACTTTTTTTGTTTTTATTTTGTTTATACGTAAACATTCATCAGTTATCAATCGTCAGCTTTTTCCTAGCCATAAATCACAAAATATACATATTATCTTCGTGTCTTTCATCGCTAGAAGAGAGCTTTTCAGTCGCGTACTTTTCTTGTCAATATGCGTAAAAGTACCTTGTCTATCTACATACATAAGTCTTAGACTATTCTCTTTTTACATGATGTATGCATACAAATAAATGATATGAATCATTCATTGTATTTATGTATGCTAACATTTGTGTTGATAATAATGACTACGTAATCGACTTAGTTTGTATATATGTATATGTATATCTATAATATAAGTGACGAGCAGTTAGGAAGGAGGGTCAGAATACATACACATAAAAGTCTTCGTATGTGAATAATATAATTTGCTAGAATTGTAAGTACTTATACTTCTTTCTATCGTCTTCTTGTTGAATTGAACAAGAAGAGTAGCAATATAACTGATTGTTGCTACTGCTGATGCCTTTTTTTCTTCTTTTTATTCGATTAATGGACGTGTGTGTATGTCGTGGTTGTACGAAAAAATTTCATTCGTTGATTGTTTTTGTGAGAATAACAATCGTAACTCACAAGCGAGAGAGGAAAGCAAGGGAAAGAAAGAAAAAAGGTTAACATCCTACAGCCACCAAAGACAGTATTTCTACAAAGAAGAATGTAAACCTCATTTCTGGAATGATGATGTGTCAGAATCTAAAATAGAGAGATACTCGTAAGAAGATACGTTACTGTGGCATACCGCGTAACAGCAGGGGCAGCCATCGTTATATCTACGTATGCTATTACCATCGTCGTTCTTTTTTTCTGTCTTCTTTTTTTTTTGTCTTCTTTTTTTGTATTTCTTTTCCTTCATATAATACTAATCGAGCGTGTCTTTTTTTTTATTTTCCTTTTCATCGTCTCACTATGTGGTCGATTCATGCATTATTGTACATTTTTAGATTACAAAAAAAAAAACATACGAATCGAAGTAAAACAAAAAGATTAAAAGATGAAGGTCAGTATACTTGTTACGCTTATTGTTTTACCAATGCTTGCATCAATTGGCCTTTATTGTTATTCGTTTATAAGTACACGTTGGAGTCGTATCGATGAAAATTTAATTCATCATTATAGCTCAATAAAAGGACAACAACGTTTAGAATCATATACTAAGTCTAATAATAATGTTCACTTAGAATTACAATCAATTCGACATGCATTTCGTTCTCGTTTTGGTTTATTTGGCTATTGTTTAGATTATAGATGGATTAATTTACTTACTGTTAAACCACAAACAAAACATGAACATGGATCACAATCTATTTCAAAACTATATTGTCATCGATGTAATCAATCATTACTTGTGTGTCAAGACACTGGTTGTTGTGTAAGTTTAATTTTAATAAATTGTCTTATAAATATTTTATGCTATTTTTAGATGAAACGATGCGATAATATACCTGATTGTCCAACATATATTGATGAAAAAGATTGTGATCGTCGATATAGACAAACACGTTATTATTGGCCTAAAGCAAATTGTATGTGGCAATCAACATGGATTGGTGATCAAGCTCTACCACGTTATTTATCATCATATAAAAATTCTCCAAAAGATTTTCATTATTATGTAAAACGTATTCGATATTATATTATGTTTCTTTTATTTGTTGCTGCACCAATATTAACATTTTTGGCTTTATTAATTATATTTTGTATAAATTGTGTTAAACGTTTTTATTCAATCCCATTTGCATTTGTTAGTTTCTTTTCTTTAGCATCATTTTTATGTGGTGCTGGTGCTCTAGGAATATTTATATATGAATGGGTACAAGAACGTTTACATAGACCAGATTATACTTATGAATTTAATCAAACTGAAGCATTAATTGTTGCTTTAAATCCATGGCTTATTCATGCTGAACGTTTAGGTTTAGCTTTTTGGTTAACAGTTGCTGCTATTGCTACGACTTTATTTACAACAATACTTAGTTGTTGTTTCTGTTGTGGATTACAATCTGAAAAATCGAAATTACGTTTTAATGTTCATGATGATACTTATGAAATTGTTCATATGGCTACCTATGATGATTGAACAATTATTAACTATTTCAATTCGGGATATGTTTTTATGTATCTTGTAATAAAAAAAACACAAAATAATCGTCTAGACTAGTGCCTGCCTTTTTTTTTTTCCCTTCTAATAGAAAATATTAACGGCCACCGGTGATTATATACGTATGAAGCTATTTGTCTAATCCTTTATCTTATCTTCTTATTCATTGAATTATTCTGTAATACAATCTTCAATTTTTACTATTGTTATTATTACAGTATTCGATTCAGTTCATTTTCTTTATGTATAAATTTACATTTGTATCCAAGATTAAAAATGAATGAAACGCATAAGAGATGTATAACTAGATATTGGACAAAGACATGTTTTATTTTATGTCAGTTGATGAATTTGATACGAAGTAAAAATGCAAAAAAAAAAAAAAAATGTAGATTTCTTATTGATTCGATCAGATGACTCTTTAAGACAAAATCAAAATGTATAAGTGTAGTCTTATACATGTCTTTAAAGATTGATATATGAGATAGTCTTATATTACAGAATAAAGTCTATTTTAAATAAGTGAAATTTGTCTGTAAATATATTGCTTCAAACATTATTCATTCTCATTTTAAGTGAGTTTTTGTATAAATTTGTATTTCATCATCTTGTTTTTAGTTTTATTCAGTTATTGCATCATAACTAAACATGTGTCATTATGAATGATCAAGAAAGAAGAAAAAAAAAAAAACATTGTAACGAGACATTGACTATGGTAACAATTATATGACATATAATAATGTTTTTGTTCGAAGTATATAATTGTTCATCAAACGATTGAAAGTCATTAGAAGAATATTTTAAAGACGAACTTATTCGATTTGATCAATTAATATATTGCGAAAAAAGAAATTAACATATTAAATATGAATATTGATCAACAAACATTACAAGATGATAAATTAATTGGAAATGAAAATTTTGGTTTGAGTATTATTGCTGAAACCGAAGAAGATTTACAATTATTTCAAGAAATTTGTTTAAAAAATTTTTTACCAATATCAAAAAATAATTGTCATACATCATTACAATGTAATCAATCTATGATTGATTATTATTTAACTACAGGTGTTAATTATTTACGTAGTGAATATGTAATGATTATTCTATTAAAAAATGTTCAATATACTGAATTATCATCATTATCATATGAAAAAGAATTTTCATTAAATAATAAATTATATAAATATTATTTACGAATTTTAATTCAAAATGTTAATGAATCAAAAGAAGAACTTGTTACTAAAATTCTATATAATCTTCTTGGTGAAATATTTATTACTAATCATGATGATCATGCATCTATTCCATCGTTACCTGCTCCAAAACAACCTCAATTTGTATCAATTTCATCTTATAGTCAAATTGCTTGTTGGCCTTTACCACGTCGACGTGATTTAAAGCGATTTCAACAAGATTTAGGTGTTACTCATATACTTACATTATTAAATGATAATGAAATAAATCAAACAAATATTTGTAATTATATCAAATCGGCAGATATTGAATCATTACATATACCAATTGCAGGTGCTGAACTTTCAATATTTACATCATCTCAAGCAACAATTGATATACTTATTGAACGATTACCTGCAATTCGTAATCTTCTTTTAAATAGTACAATAACAAAACCGGTTAAAATGATTATTCATTGTGCAGCTGGTTTACATCGAACTGGTACTATTACATATTTACTTTTAAGACTTTGTCATTTTACTAGTGATCAAGCATTATTGATAATTAATAGAACAAGAGCTATAACAGCAAGACAAGTTGGACAAAAAAGAATCAATGCGGCTGAATACAATCTTTTGACAAAATTCCAATAAAGCATAAGATATATTATACATTTATTGTAACAAATTGTTAAATAATAAATAGGTGATACAAAGCTGTAATAATTCAATTGATTAATGTAAATTGTGAACTAGTAATATATTGTTTAATCGTATAATTTTATAATGTCTATACAATGATATTATATATTGCAGCACCCTAATTAAAGATGTGCGGAGATAAAAAAAAAAATTTACCGGGGTTGGAGCTACGAGTAAAAATTGCCGGGACACGGAATTAGAACCACTAGAAAAGAAGTCACCGGGAGCAAACTAGAACGTGGTCTACACCAGACGTACCAGATTATGATCGGTATATAAAAAAAGTTACCGAAACCAAGAAACTCTTTATCCGACACGTCTCTAGCCCTGTAGAATCTTCTATTAGTTCTTGAATAAGAATAAAAATAGAAAATGTTTTTTTTTATTATTTGTGATGATAACGTTCATAATATAAACAAAATAAGGCTATATGGATATGTTATTAAATTCTTAAATCATTAATATTAAAATTTTCATTCATTATTAATAACTATGTCTATTTTTACTTTTACTTTTCTAATAGTTCTTATAAATGATGCTGATATTGAATTTTCTCTCATAATTTTTTCTTCAAAAAACTTGTGAAAAATCTTTTGCTTCATCAAAATTACTACTATACACGATACACCAACAGCATAGAAGACTTCTATTAATCTTAAATAGACATATCTTGTCATTTTACGTCCTTGGTATGAGTAACAGGAATATAAAAATAGTAATAATTTTTTTTTCAATAGATCATAATTCTTAATGATGTCACTTGAATAGACCAATTGATCGATGGACGTTCTTATTCATCAACATATTGTGTAACCAAATATTCTCTTATCGAAATAATACTATTGTTTATCTTCTTGTTCATCACATAGTATATATTCACATCAATGACATACTATATAATTGATTTTTTTCTCATCAAAGAATGCCTACCAGTTACTATATGTATTGTCTTGAGTTTTGATTTCGGGCATATTTCTTTTGTAGTAGTTTATGTAACGTTACTTTCATCTATGAGATTGAATCCTTTCTCAATATAAATATGTATTGTTATTTCTATCAAATATATTCAATACTTCGGTCTGTTAATTATTGAATGCCATTGATGAGATAATTGAAAGTTGATGATTTTCTAAAAAAACATAATTCTTTTTTTTATAAATATTATGATTTTTTCAATACCACATGCTGTCAGAAAATGTATAATAGCTTCAAAAAGTTACAGAAACACACAATTTCGTTTTACTGAAATCTACATATTAAAACTTGAATACGACAAGTAATTGTTTGTTATTGCAGCTTTTCTTTGCTTATTAACGGAATATTTTTCGAAAGCAATTATCACAAAAATAATAATCTATTTTTTTTTTATTCAAATAATCTACAATCAATTGAATAAAGTTAAAATATATGTTAATATTGATTTTGACGAATATCTATTATGTGAAAAAAATTCATGATGACATTAATTCTGTTCGTTATTAATTTTGTTTACCATTGTACTAAGATGTTCTCTTTAACTCTTCAGGCAATATGCTAATATTTATTAGTATACATTTATGTACATCTGTCGAAAAGATGTAACGAATGATTTATTTATATTTATCCTAGCCTGAGATGGTTTAATATAGGGTAAATTCATGGGGTTTTACCAGACCGATCTGGCGACCATGTCCAAATCCATTGAAACTTTCAGGATTTGTAGAACATTTTGTTACTGATCGTTTTGAGATTAAAGTTTTTATATTTAGATAGTATTTTCAAAGAGATATGGAACAAACATTACAGATACATTTTAAGACTTTTTCCAATAAATGAATGTCGTATTTTTATCAAAACATTGATGATAGTCCTTCGCCAGAGATGTAATCCCTCTTACTTATTTCTGAAGTTTGCTTTGTTGTTGTTCACATGTTATTTTTCTTAATATTATTATTGATTTAACTGATAAATAAACCTTTTGAACATATATTATATCTACAGCAGTTATATATAGTATTTTGATTAGGGCAAAACCACTGACATTGATTATTGTCCAATGTTATAACTTGATCAGTTCACGTCTATTATGTTGATCAAATGACCATTGTGACAAATCAATACATCACTATCCTTCGTCCTTGATATCTTAAAGATAAATTTTTATCTGAACAAAAATTTAAAAAAACTACATTATTTCGTACTTTCACAAACGTATTTCAGTCATTTAATGAACTCGTTCAAAAGATCCTTTTCATTTGAGATAATGAGAAAAATTTCTTTCTCTTTAAACAAAAGTATTTTCACTCGTGTTCATAGAAAGAAAAAAACAGAATTCACGATGATAAAATTTGTTGTTTTTCGAGGTATCACTAAAACATTACAGCAATATACTAAGAGATGTTTTTTTAGATTCACTAGAACAGTATAATTCTTACTGTTTTGAGACAACGCGAGACAGGTATCTACTAATGTCAAAATGTAGCTCAACATTATATAATACTACTTTTATTTTCGTCTTTTTTTCAATGGTATTGATGACTACGAGAACTGACCAAGTACAAGAAGTATTCGCACACGAGAAGATCAGTACTTGTTCAGTTCTGAAGACTACCATTCATTTTCATCATAATTCAAAATAAATGTCATCTACCGATGTAGAATATGTGATAATGGTTCTTGTTTGAATATCACTTACTTTGCGATTAAAACTATTTTTCAATTTTTGTTTTCGCTTCCATTCAGATATTTATTTAGTACTAATCTTTGGTAGAAAAATAAATTTATATATTCACTAGAGCAATAAATAATAATTTTGTCATCGGTCAACGAAAGGCAGATATTTATTTCGCGTTGTTCGTCATTAACTTGATGTCATTTCTCCCGTGTCCATTCTTTTCAGAAAGACAAGAATCTTTTTACGCAAATTTTGAAATAAAATATCTATTCTGACATATATATTTGACTCACAACTGTAACTGATCGAAGGTTTTCAAACTAGTCCTGATCTATAATGAAATATCGATGAGGTCAGTAAAGAAATTTGACTCAAGTAACACAGTTTTCATAGTGGTGAAATCTGCTTGATTGCATGTTATGAAACATCTGTTAGACGGAAGTATATAATAGAACAATAAATTTTTGTTTATTGATGTACATCGCTAGTATTAAATTAATTTGCACAAGATGTGTTATTATTAGTTTAACAGAAGAATCATCAACAATGTTATCATTGAGTCATTCAAGCAACAGATCATTATTCGTGTAAATATGAATGCAAGTGGGTAATTGAACATTTATGCAATGAGTTAATGGGAAAGTAAGATCGAGAGAGAAAGAGTGATAAGAAAAGAAAATAATGATTCTTACTGATGCGTGTGATACTACAAAGAGAAAATTAATCAACCGACATAACTGATGACTTTTCGAAAGAATAGTTGAACACATTAGTGTACAAAGATTACAATTCAGCGTCGAATAGAACAAAGATTGTAATTTGTTTTTTTCTTTGTTCGTATTTCTTCATTTTGAAAATTCATCAATTCACTCCAAAGCCGTTCGGTTCTCTGACTTCCTACAGTTAGAGCAATTCATGCAGGGTTTTAATGTAAAACACGATGCAACTGTTCTTTCTAATCACAGAAAAGTTGTTTTATTCTATTTATTTAATCCTCCAGCAATGCAATAAAGATGTAGTTCATATTTTCTAACAAGACATTATTGATATATAGTCTGTAATGAAATATCAACGTCTGTCACGAACTATGAGAGTTTCTTATTAGTAGCTGTCACAGTATGTATATGGGAAGAAAAGAGTTTCAAATTTTTATTCGTATATTTCAACACTCCTTTTAAATCCTATTTCACAAAAATGCGTACGAGTCGCTGTTGTATTTACTCTAAACTCTTTTTCATTCGATACACAAAATATATATTACTGTTTTATTATACTGAATCATTCTTATCAACTAGTTATTAACGATACACTACTCTCTCTCGGACAAAAAAAACGGCCTTTTTCCATTTCATTTTTGCATCACTTAATAAGTTGTTTTAGAAAAACAAAATATACCAGGAGATGCAGCGTGAAAAGAACTACAATGTGCAAAGTAAAGCTTATTTTTATTTTGTACTTTTTGTTTTCAAAAGAAGCAAAATTGTGTGCGACCAATTTTTGACGCTGGGAAAAAATCATTTTTTTCTATGCGAACGAGAAATTCCTTTTTCCTTATTTCATCTTTTTATTAACTAATATGCTTTTGTAAAAAAAAATAAAATATACCACAATATGCAACGTGAAAAGCTCTACAATTTACGCAGAACAGTTTATTGAAATAAGAAGAAAGGAATTTTTCATTGGTGTAGAAAAATGATCCTTTCGCAGCGTCGAAAATTGGTCATACAGAATTTTGCTTTTTTTGAAAACAAACGTACAGAATTGAAATAAGCTTTACTTTGTAGATTATAGAGCTTTTCACGCTGCATCTTGTGGTACATTTTTTTTTTACAGAAGTAGATTAGGTGATAAAAAGATGAGATCAGAAAAAATGATTTTTTCGCAGCGTCGAAAATTGGTCGCACACAATTTTGCTTTTTTTGAAAACAAAAAGTACAGAATTAAAATAAAATTTACTTTGTAAACTGTAGTTCTTTTCACGCTGTATCTCCTGGTATATTTTTTTTTTTTTTAAAACAACGTATTAAGTGATGCAAAAATGAAATGGAAAAAGGCCGTTTTTTTTTGTACGAGGGAGACCATACACTAGTTTCATTAGTAGGTCTGTCTGTCACTGTTTGTAGTGATCATGGAAGGCAACACTCCTCCTAATTTGTCTTTTATAAGAATACTTGCAAAGAGACAGTATCCATTCGGACAGGGGCTCATTTTAACGAGTTAAAATGTGTATTTTTTGTGTTGGAAAAAAAGAAAAGCAATTTTTATTTTTGCAAAAAGCAAGTGTATGAGCATCATCATCTTCTGACTCGCTGTCCTTTTCAAAAAAAAAAGTTTTTTTTAAGTGTAAAAAAAAAAGCTCACATGGTAAAGTGTAGAAACAGTTTTTGTTTTCTTTTATTGATTTTGTCGAAGAGGGTTAGAATGATTTATGAAATGCATTTCATTATTACACATCTCTATACTTTGCGTAAGATATTGTTCGATTGTATTATTTTCGTTTTTTCGCGAAAGCAAACTTTTGTTGATTCATTAGGAAGAACTTTTTAGCAAAACAAAGGAAGAAGTGAAAAAATGAAGTAATGCTTAATAAGCTGCGCTGCAAACTTTTGCTAATTCATATGAAATTAATGATGAAAATTGTAGACAGTAATCTATAAGGGATCGTCATTCGAAACGTATAGCTTCAATTAATAAAACTAAATATTAAGCGGTAATTCAATGCTGAAATAGTAAGAAATTCAAGTAGATGATAATTCATCATGAATAAACAGCTAGTTGTTTCTGACAAATTTTTTTCATTTTGTACAACACAGAAGGTAAACATTAATATTCTTTTATTATACATGTATCAAAAAGAAAACATTTTTTTATCTTCAAAAAGCTACATGATTCGTTTGTGAAGAAATAATAAAATCTTTTGAGAAAGAATATAACCATTTCGATCTTTTACTTTACATAGAATTGTCTTTGGCTTTTTCAAAGACATAAATATGATTAGTTGCTGATTTAAATGTGTCAACACAATAGTCATCTAATAATCGACGATTTCTTGAATTTAGATTTTTTCATCTAAAACATTTCGACTTAGAACATAAATTTTGTACATTATAAAATGTCTCGAAAACAATGCGTGGAAAGTGCACTTCCTGCATCACATAACGCTAATTATGTGAACGTCTTCGAACGTCGTCGTCGTCGTCAATCTAACAATAGACAGAATTTGATGTCTGATCAAGAACGTAGGGCAAAATTTGAACAGCTTATTCGTCGTTATGAAAGTTCGTTTGTTTAGTATTTTTTTAGTTAAATAAAAAACAAAAAAGTCACTCATTAAAATTTTTTTCATTTATTTTAGTTAATAAAACTTTTGCTTCAAAGTTAGGTGCTTTAGATGGTTATGAAATTGTTTTTATTTGTGATGATTCAGATTCAATGAATACAGAACTAAGTGAGTTATTCTATTGTTTTGTTTTTCTATCGAACTCATCAACTTCTTATTTTTGAATTTAAGGTGATGTTTCTGGACCATATGAAAAGGCACCAACTCGCTGTAAAATATTTGATTAATTATGCATGACCATGATGGTTTCTCTTATTGATTTTTTTCAGGGGATGAATTGAAACAAACAGTATCAATTGTTATTGATTTAGCTAGTACATTTGATCCAGATGGTGTAGATGTGTATTTTCTTAATCGTGAACCAATGTATAATGTATGCAGTTCAGAAGAATTGCCACTTATGTTTGCTCTACTCCCAGAAGGCATGTTATACATATTTATTCAATAAAATATCGATTGTTAAAATAATTTCAGGTCCAACACCAATGGTTCGAGTTTTGCGACAAGTTCTTAAAGAAAAAAAAAATCAAATACAAGAACGAAAATTACTTATTTTCTTAGCTACAGATGGAGTACCAACAGATGACAATGGTCAACCAAGAATTGATGAATTACGACAATTTTTGTTAGAGGAACGTAAACCTATAAATCAAATATCAGTTACAATTATTGCTTGTACAGGTAACTATAAAAATGTTCAATACAATTGAATTGAACTTGATATAGAAAAGAAAACAAAAACAAAAATATTCGATTAAATCATTTTATTTTTTTTTCTTTAGATGATAATGAGTGTATGTCATATTTAAATAATTGGGATAAAATAATTCCAAATCTTGATGTTATTGATGATTATCGAAGTGAAAAAAAAGAAATTCTTGCATGTCAAGGACGATCATTTCCATTCAGTTATGGTGATGTAAGTGTAATTCTACTTGTTTGAATATTTATGAATATTTTTTGTATTCTTAGTATGTTGTAAAAATTCTTATGGGTAGTATAGACCCTTGGTTTGATGCATTGGATGAAAAGCAAGTCACAACAGATGAATATGGGCGATCTGAACCAAGAATGACAACAAATAATAATTTTTAAACTAAATATTATTAATTATTTACTTACAACATTTTTTATTTATGTATCTTTATCATCATGATCAAAACTGTTTGACTTATGAAGTGTCAATAATAAGTGATTTTGTTCTTTCATCCGAAGATATCCGTAAAGGACGTCTAAGTAGCTGAAGAGAAAAGGTCAAATTTTCACAGAGGACAGAGAAGATTAAAGAATGTGTTTTTTTACCTGAACGTGCTTTAGAAATTACTTCTTCATCTTTTTTATCAAACCAAAAAGTCTCTTGTAGCTTGGTTTTGAATTGAAATTTTTATCATGTGTTTTTTTTTTTAAATGTTATATGACGATATGTATAGACTTTTTAAATGATCAATGAATTATTTTAAATAAACAAATGAAGGCATTGCCAAAAAAAATTGTAATCTAACTTTTTACAGCTTGTTCACCGGTAAAGCATTTCTTCATTGTCGAAGAAAATCATGGTAACGCACTCATTGAAAAGATCCATTTCATTAGAGCTATTTAGAAAAGTTAACATATTTGCAGATTTTCTTGCTCGAAACAAAATATTTTCATTCATGTTTGTAATTAAGTCAACGGAACTCACGATGGTGAAACTTGTGCTTTTTTTAAAAGCTTGTTCTTCGACACAGTTGCGAGTAAAACTTTCCAATAATGCATTCAGAGTAATACTTGTTAGATTCACTAAAAAGTATATTGTTTCTTTTTTCAGTTTTGAGAAAAGATGACCTATTAGTGTCAAACATTAGCACATCCTTCGATAATATTTAGATAGATCCATGGGATATCGCCAGGTTGATTCAGCGACTCCGTTCAAATCCGTTGAAACTTTCGGAGTTTGGAGAACGTTCTTTTTCTGATCATTTTGGTAATCAATTTTTTTATATTTAGATCATATTTTCAAAGAGATATGGATCAAATACTATAGATACTTTTACTTGAAAAAAGTGATATAAATTACAAAAAAAAAAACAATGATTTTTTTACTCAAAACTTACATTTCTAGGTGCTAGTACTTGCAAATTTGCAGAATTTTCGGAAAACACATGCCGTTCTCTTACACCATGTGAGATTTTTCTTGTGGGTTATCTTCTAATATAGGATGACTTTCTATTCTTGAGAGGAAGGTGATAAATTAAAATTGACTATTTTCAACTGAGCCGATTTAAATACGTTCTCGTTTCAAATGGATGATGATTCGGAGAAAACTTCTAAACATTCATGCCATACAAATACTTTTCTGGTATCATAATGTTATTTTTATTACTACTACAAAGTTTGAGAGTTTCGTTATGACTAGAAATGTGCAGGACTAAGTTCTTTGGTCTCAGCAACTTCTTTTTAAGTGGTTTTGGTGACATAGACCAAAATTTTAATGCACACATCTCCGATCATAACATCCTAATTTATAATATTCTTCATAATTAACTTCCGCATAAAGTGTGATTCGCATATATTAATGCTTGTAGCTTATCACGCTTATCGAACAATTCGAAAAATATTTTTAGACAAAGTTTCGGTTAGCTTTCATATAAATACCTTTGAACGCTTCTCGATATTTTCCAGTCTAAAGAAAACAGAAGTCAAATAATATTAAATTTTCAGTAACTTTACTGCAAATCATTGACATACGAACACTAATCAACGCATACATCGAATGTCTTATAACTCTTTGATATTCGATGTGCGATGTCAAAATTAGGATGCAACAAATTCATACTATGGAGATTTGATACATTCGATTTACCATAAAATTGAGATTGGATTTAGTACATCCTTACGTCGAAAAAAGTATTGTTTATATCAATAGAAATTGAAATCATTTGAAAATGAAATTGATGTAGAAAAAAAGAATAATATCGATTTACTGATAACAACAACTACCCTCACACCTATAAGGCTGCTCTCTCCTCTTTCGTAGCCATTGTATAGTCTGAAATTATATCTATCTACTAAGTACATTTTGAGATCCTAAGCTTGTCTTTAATTCTTAGAAAATTCCACAAGAAACCAAATTAGCGAAAACTGTACATTGTTTCGCATTTTTCTCAAAATCAATTTTTGAATAGAAAAAGTGAAGTTGACTCCCAGATGGTTCGATCGATTGAGTTGAATTTCTTTTTATATCACAACTAGAATAAAATCAGGAAGTATGTATACATTTTTTTTTCTTTGAATAGTGTTCTGGTGATTTTTGATAGATCTTAGAAAATTTGACCTAATAATAAAAAAACACGTTTTCTTACACGGTTTTCAGTATTTTGGTTCTCCTGTGCGAAATAGCTCTCTCTTTTGTTTTTGTTATTTGTCAATAAAAATTCTAACTTTCATTTATAGAGATTTTGAAGTTTTATTATTTTTATCTTCATTCCATTTTATTTCCTATAAAATAAAAATACACAATAAATTCAATTTTAATTCCCCTTCGCTTTTATTGCTAAATAACGCCCACAAAAAAAATATAATCCGGTTAGTTATTAGATAGCATACATCTAGAAAGCAAAATTAAAATTAAATGAGTTACAATAACAAGAGAACTGGTTGGAAAATAAAAGACTGACATTAAATGATTGTTTACATTTTTTATTTTTGTTGTTTTGTTTTTTATTCTATAAAGGTTCATTTATATGGAAAACAAACACTCGATATCAAAATTTATGATCCAAATGTAATTCCAGCACTAACATAGACATTATAAATTTTTTCAATAGCATTTACATATGCTGCAGTACGAATATCAAGACCAAGATCATAACGCATAGCTGTTTGCATTATCGCATGTGCTGCTTTTTCCATAGTTTGTTCAAGACCTGAATGTACTATATCTTTTTCAGATGCACCAGCCATACGTTTTAAAAATTCTTCGCTTGGTTTCTTTTTAAAAAAGAATCATTATGAAAATAATTTAATCAGAACGAAAAAAAAAAAAACTATTTTTATACTTACAACTGGAATTTTTCCACCCTAAAATTACCGAAAAACAAAATTTGACTTTAGTCACATAATAAAATAGTGAACAAAAGTCTTCCATTTCACTCTATTTCGGTTACTATATATGCTAGAGATCTGACAATTAATGAGAATTATGATAAAGAATGCCTATCATTCCTGAAAGTTTCAAGCCTGAAAAAGATTGTCTGCTAAATTTTTCACTATCGTTTATCAATTACATGCTCAAGTGTGATAGTTGAGCATCCAAGTAGAGTCTAGATTATTCTCTTTTCTTTTAGTCAAGACATTAGGCAATTTAATCGAAGATTGTTGCCTCTAGGTTCTTTGTCGCAACACGATGATTATTCGGATAACATATTATGTACAAGTTTCAGCTCAATTCACTGAACTATAAAAAAAATGGCTACAATTGTATGAAGGGTTGATAGAATTCGATGAGACTAATACAGTAGACAATCAGAACAAAACTACTTAAAAAATGTGCTGACGAACAAAATTCTTCATTTCAAGAGTTATGAAGTTGGCAAGATAAACAAATGTTATCTATTACTATTGATTATACTTCTCGCTCCATTTAAACAATTGAAGTAAGCTTATGTTATAGACCTAATCCTTTAGTGATCGTGTAAATCTTGCGTCAAATATCATATTTTCATGACTCATTTGCTTTAAAAGTTTATGCAAAAATTATTTAGCAATAATCACTTCAATCTTTACTAGTACAGTTTCATAACAAAGACTAATCCTTGTTTCTAGTAAACAATAGAGTTGTTAAACATATGAACGTACAGAATACACAAAGTATTAATGAATCAAAAAGAATAATCAATCTTCAAGATGGAAGATATTAGAGGTCATGTAGACCTTGCAAGATGTCTCGAACTCATCAACACTGCTAGAAAATGATATCGCATTTTTCGCTAGTATATGTGTTGCGAAAGCAAGGCCAAAAATTTTTTTGTGGCCATTACCGGAATCAAAAATAAATAGTCCTACTAATTAGTACTATCTACACACAAATTTCCAGACTTTCAACATGTATAGTAGCCGAGATACGAGGCGTGAAAGACTTTTGTCTAATAAAGTAACAATAAATATTTAAATCACATACCATACGACCAAACTTGGATTCTAATGAACTTTGAACTGATTCTATAAAATACCAATAAAAAAAAAATGTATATGTATATGAGATGAATAAACAAAAACATACCTAGTAATGAATAATTTGTATCACGTTGATATTTAAATGTTAATCGACCATAACTCACATGACTCAAATTTTTTAACCATTCAAAATAAGATACTGTTACACCACCAGCATTGATGTACAAATCTACAAGAAACAAAATTCAATTTTTTGTTTTTTTTTTCTCTGTTTTTAAATATTTTCAATATACCTGGAATAACAAGAACATTATTCTTTAATAAAATAGCATCAGCTTCCGGTGTTGTCGGACCATTTGCACCCTAAATATATAGATTATTTCTATTTTCTTTTGATAATAACAAAAAATAAAAACTAATTTACTTCAGCAATAATTCGAGCTTGAATACGAGCAGCATTATCAGAAGTTATTTGTCTTTCACTAGCAGCCGGTACAAGAATATCACATGCTTCACAAAGTAATTCTTCTTTTGGTTCTTTTGCATATGGTTTAGCACCTGGGAAACCTGTAATTGTTCCATTTTCAAGTTTATAATTTTCGAGGGCTTTTGGATCAATTCCATCAGGATTAACAATAGCCCCATCCCATTCAAGTACACCGATACATTTTGCACCATGTCTTGTCAAATAACGCATTGAGTGAAGGCCGACATTACCAAAACCCTAACAAAAAAGAATTTTTTCTTTCAAAATAAAGAAAAGAATTGTTTTGTCTCCATTCATACTTGTAAAATAAATGTTTTACCAGCAAGACCAGGTAAAAGACCAACCATGCCCCTAAAGAAAAGGTGTATTTTATAATTATCCTAGATTAATAATTTTGGTGGCTGAATCTGTGAATTTTCTCAGCTGGAAAATCTGGGCAAACAATAGAAATTTG